GTCATTCTCTGGCTGCCCAGCTCTGCAGGCAGCAGCGCAGAAGTAAGGTTGCATGGTAGTTTAGCCACCCTTACTTCTGTGTTGCTGCTGGCAGGGTGCTGCCTGCAGATCTGGATGCTCGGCCAACAGCTGCCATTCTTCGGCCTCCCAGCTCTTAAGTCAGTACAGAAGTAAGGATGGTAATATTGCAACCCCCCTAAAATAACCTTGTGACCCCCCTGCAACTCCCTGTCAGGCCACGAACCCCCAATTTGAGAAATGCTGGTCTCCCCCCATGAAATCTGTATAGCATAGGGCAAAAGCACACAAAAGACAAGATTTCACGGAGGGAGACCAGATTTCATGGTCCATGATGCATTTTTCATGGCCGTGAATTTGGTAGGGCCCTAGAAAAGCATTTCTTGGGAGGGATTCTCTTCTTATGTGTTTATTTGTACTATCTCAGTGGGGCCCTGATCAGTTGGGGCCTCTCTAGGTGCTACTGTAATACAAATAATAAAAATGACAAAATATTTAATAATTTCTTATTATCATAGTTGAGATTAATCATCAGCTTGCAGTGCCACATCTTCAGCAGAATAGAAATCTATTAGTTTCTATAATGTTTCATTTTTATATCTCTTGTTTGCTGCTAAAATGTGCCAGCACTAATAGGATGTGTTACCTTGTTCGTCCTGATGCTGACTTTCTATCTATCTCCTGTTATATTTCTGTGGCCTTTTCTTGTGGAATATCAGTGCAAAATATTTGCTCTTCAAAACCAGTCATACATTAGCCATGGTTGACGGTTGGCTTTTTGATTAAATTGCTGCAATATATTCTATTGTTAAGGTTGAATCTCTTCACCTACCACTTAGTTTAGCAAAGATGCTGGGGACCTGAAGGTAGGATAATTTATAGTGACTTGGAATGATACTATTAGATGGGGTATATTAATCTTTTACAATTATCCCAAATATGATTTAGAATCAATCAAATAAAAATGTCACCTTTATTTGCTGATTGCCCACCGAAGAGCATTTAAAGCTAGATAATCTATTTTCCCAATTAAAGCAAAACCAAGACAACACATATTTTAGATATTTTGGGGAAATTAGCAGTCTATTAGAAACATGAACAAAGAACACTGGGGAAAAAAATCTACAGAAGCTACATGTATAATTGAAAGGTGTATTAAGGAATCTTCTATGAAAATTCAATTAAAACTTAACTAGCAGAATCCTTCAAAGAAATGTAATTAAAATTTTAGGTGCACTGAAACACTTATGGAAGAAAAATAAAAAGTGGTCTGCATATCAAAAGCCAATGAAATCAAAATTTTCTTTATAATAACCCAGAGAGCAATAAGATAGAACTTTTAAGATACCCTGCATGTCATGCTATTAATATTATCTCAAAGCCTCGCCAAGCACACATGAATCAATAGTCATTTTAATACGTTCAGTAAATGACTGTCTGAATCCTAACAGACTACAAGTAGTGCGCAAGTGTGAAAGTAACTCTGGAATACATAGCCCTGTGAACCAAAATCTCTGAAGTTTATGCCGATGAAAAGGTATTGGAGATGAATACTGCAGCTGCAGTGTCCATCCACTAAAATTTGTTATTCCTGGAAAGGGAAGTATTTCTGGACAAGAGTATGGTGTCAACAAATCAGCAATTCTGGCTCTGTAAGTTAATTCCTGGAAGCACTGAGTTTTGGAAGTGATTATTTACAGGAATGACACAAAAAATGCCTGCACCACAGAAGGAAAAACACTAATGTTATCCACACACCAATACGACCTGCTGTGAGAGATGAATTTCAATGAGTTCAATGACTTAATTCACTTGGGATACGCCCCCAGATTCGGATGTTTCTCCAAATCTGATCCAAAGTGTTGAGGTTTCATCTATCAACTCCCTGGTCATCAATAGGCCCCTTCCAGGAATGATATCATATTTCAGCCCCTCACCCTTCTTGTCAACCCTTTAATTGAGTCATCGTCTCTCTTGCAAGATTTCTCGGTCTCTTAATAGGCTTTGGCTTGGCTCCCTTTTTGTGATCCCTCCGTAGTGTCATATCTTCCTATCCGACTTCCTGACCCTCCTCTCCCCTTATACTGCACCCCTTCCCTTCCTCTCAGACTCTTCCAACCCTAAAATTCAGCAGTTTGTCTTCTAGGTCCTCACTAGTAGTCGGTTTCAGCACCCTATGGCACTTTTGTCTGGGGTGCTAGCAGACATGCTGCAGGACCATAGTCCACATGAAGACCTTCAGGGATAAAAAAATGCAGGGGGGGGGGGATTCATGGAGTATGTGGGGTCCTGTAAACTGTGGGGTGTGATGGCACATTGTGGATATGCTGGTCATTTAGGGAAATGAATTGAGAGGATGAGGAATGGTCACATTCAAGTGCAGAGAAGGGAAAATTATTTTCAGGTGTTTGAAATGGAGGGATTTGTCGGTGGGTGGGCAAATAGGCCTCTTATCTGAATCTTTTCAAACATTTTAAAAGGTCTGGTTTTATTTTTTATCATCACAGATCTGGGGAAAGGAATGAAGTTTTGGGTTTCTTCTGCCTTTAGTCAAACAGGCACCACTATGCCTACCTGCAAATGCCCACTTGTTTGGTAGGAATGGAATCTGACTATACCAGCAACACAATATCCCTGATACTACAGCTTACACCAGGCTTGGAAGGGAGAATTTTAATTATACATGTGATTATTTTTTCCTTTAAAGCCTGGCACTGATCAGCTTTGAAACTTTGCCAAAAATGACATTCTGAAATAATATTCTTACTGCTTCAGAGAGAGAATGAATGTAAGTACTGGAGTGCCAGAAGCCGGCTTCTTTTTAATTTCTCTATAGTTGGCAGAGGATATTTAACTAAGTAGAGCATATGCCAAACCCTAAATCTGGTGAACATAAACAGTTTTCTAGCCTGAGTAGTATATTCAGTTTAAAGACAACAAAAAAACCTCATGCTCGCTTATCAGTCATCCAAGGACAGGGCTGGATTGTGGCATTTGTGCCACTATCCTGTATGTGGGTGTTGTGGAATGGCAGGTGTAATCTTTCCTGGGACTACTCTATTTGCATACGGGATGAGTATTCTGGTTGCTTCCCCCAATGCCTGGCCCTGCTCCATTGGGGTTGGTGATATGGTTCCATGCCCAGAGCTGATTAAAAGTCAGAATTACCAATTTTCTAACTGAGTCCCTGATAAAGGCAGGACTGGGAGGCTGTCACTCTGTGGCAGGGAGTTTGGAAGTCCTGGGGCCTTGGACTCTGAAGTAGTTTGTGTGTTGGGGCTGCATTGAAGCCATAGACCCCAGAAGCTTGGCTCCTCAGAGCCCACCAGACGAGATGACAGGAAACCTGCCTGTGTTTCAGGGAAAATCCATCAAAATAGATATTTCACAGAAACATCCAATATTTGACAAATTGATATTTTTTGATGAAAACTGGTTCATTGGAAAACTCCTGACCAGCTCTAGCCAACTCTAGACCTCTCAGCCTCCCTTCAGCAATTTGATCCCCAGGGAAGAGGAGTGAACAGTCTCTCTATTCTACAGATGCAGAGAGGTCCTTGTTGTGCTAGGGAGGTGTCTTTATCCTCCTCCCACCCACACAACACATGAAAATCTAGCCCACAGTGTGTGGCACACTCTGTTTGATAAACAGGTGCTCTCTAATTTCTCTCTCCAATATCTTTTCTTATACTTCCTCTATCACAATTTTACAAAATTGTAGCCTTCAGCTCTGTGCTGTGTCTTTCGGGAGGCTTTATGACACTTTTTTTTTTTTTGACTGTGTGGATTTGGCTGAGGGCCTGTCTGACCTGTCCCTGGCATAAATTAGAACAGACTGAGGGGAATGCTTTCTGCCCTATTCTGTGGAAAGGGGTGTCTTCAATCCATATTCCCTTGTTTGAAGATGCTTGGCTGTCAAAGAGCAAGTGTGTCCTGGATCTGCTATTCTAAATGTTGTTAGGTATTGTCACAGGGATGTCACTCAGCTGTTGACTGATGCTTGTGAAGTAGTGACATCACTCTTGTCACTTGATTCTCTGGTGCACTCTGCTGCTGGGCAGGGCAGTGAACGGCATACCACTGACTTGAAAAAGTTCTCTGCTAAATGGCCTCCCCTCATAATAAGAGTACACTAGAGAGTTTCCCCACTGAAAGTAGGAGGAGAAGGCCTGAAGCACCCTGCTACTCCCTAGGCCCCTGAGCTTGTTTCACCTA